GAGTATAATGAGTTAATCACCGAATATAATAACATAAATACTAAATATAATGACATAACCACCCAAATGAATAAAAAAAGTATCATAAGACAGTTCTGGCGTTCCATACTAAATGGTCAGACAGATTTGACAAAAAAAAAAGAAAGAAAACACGCGAGGATCACGTTTTCAGGAGGAGTTTAGTGGCTGTGATTTCTTTGAAGTATTGCAGGACAAAAAAGGAAAAAGGTGGTCTTGTTTCCAATAGAACAACGGTCAATTTCTATGTTTCTTGTTTCGAAAGATCGAGGCACTCGAGTTTCTTGCTGGTCTTCATAACAAGCATACCCGTGCAACTGAGGGTTTTCCGCATTTTGCCGAGTCTCGCCGTAGTTTTTGTGCGCCTTAAAAATGTGGGAAGCTTGCATTTGCAGCCTGTAGAGTGGTCGACAAGGGTGGACCTGGATTACTTTATGGGCAGACTTCCAGAAAAAAACAAAACAAAACAAAAAAACACGTGTGGATCACGTTTTCAGGCGGAGTTTAGGGGCTGTGATTTCTTGATTGAAGAGTTTAAGGGGTTAAAGTGTAATGACGTGAGTGAGTATAAAATTACACCATTAAAGGGTTCTATTTAAGGGGATTGACGATACAGGATTTACTTTGGAATCAAGATAAGAAAAATGGCCATCTCTCAATCGCTCATCACCATCATCCTCATGGAACCTTCGTTTTCATTTTAACCACCTATCCGAACCTGAAAATTGATTTTCTTTTTTCATTTCCAATGTATCATGATTTGTTTTCAACTCAATAGTTTAAGACTACCTCTTTTGTTACAATTTGTTGCAGTTCCTTAGCTTGACTGTAATTGTAAGTCCCCTGTTTTTAAACCAACAAAATTAATCGCTGTACAAGGTCAGTGACCCTGAATCATTTGGTAAAAAGTATTTTCAAGTTGATGGTAATATCTTTTTCCGCTGGACCAATAGTAACATTATATTTCCGATCTTATGTTACAATAACTGCAACTGTAATTTGTTTTTGTTTTTCTCCAAATTGTTTTTCTGAATATTCATATTGCTTCACGCATCTTATCAGATATTGCTAGCAAGGGTTCTAATGTTGTTTTTTCAATGTAGCATTAACTATAAACTTCTCTTTCTAAGAGAATACTAAACAGAGTTTTTGCCATTGGTGCATAATAAAGAGCCTATAATAAATGTTATTCCGGCGAAATGAGACAAACAAAAAAATATCTTGTTGACAGGTGTTTTTTTCCTGTCATTCCAGAATCGTAGTAAATCTATTTTTGAGCTGCTCAGACGGAATAGCATCTTAATTTCTGCACGGACATGATTCCTGTCAAACTGTTAGGTCAAATACACCATTAAGAAGCTTTAACATACACTTACAACAGACCCTGTGTCAGAAGCACTCCTGCTCCTGCTCTGGAAGCAATAGCAAAGAGCTGTTAAGGTTGGTGACTCTGACCATTTCATATTGACTCGGTTTATTTCCTGGTTGTTGCTGGTGCTTTTAACGGAGTGTAATGAGGTCGTTTTGGGTTCTCAAAACCAAAGCTGTTTTATTGATTCTTAATTTTGGTGTATGCCAGAAGGATCGATATGGTAAAACCAGCTTAACCCATGCTGGCGATGATGTTGTATCGACTAGAGTGAAGTAGTTTCGCCCCTAACTCTACTCCAGTCTTAAGTACTTGGACTCAAACTAAGTGAAAAATCTCTTAACTACGTGAAAGATGACAAAAATAACTCGCTTTCCTCAAGCCATCGGCATTCCGTTTAACTTCGAGATTGCAATCTTAAGGGCTTAAAGCATGACATGGCTGCATGCATGTATCGGCAATAACAATACGAGCTCTTCATATTTCCAGTATTATTTAAGTTATGAGTTACCCTTTCAATGACTGCCCAAGGACGAAGTGTTGTAGCAAAAAGGGCACTGGTGCTTTTTCTTACACCGTAATATTAAGCCGGGTTTCATCACATTTTGAAGTTATCAAAACGCCTGCTTTAGCCACACAAAAGTCCCGCTCACTGTCTTTCAAATGAATGGCCGCGCAATTTGTGTTCTGATTCACAGACGTAAAAGTTGAGAGTCAGGATGTGCGGTATTTTTATAACAAATAGAACCTCATGAAAGCAATACTCAGTTCGAGTAGGTTTCGAGTAGGTATCATAAAATGGTTACATGTCTGTGTTTTATCAACAGACTCTTAGACCTGCTCTGCGCAACATAAAATGAAATTAAGTAAATGTTCAAGAGTTGGCATTTGAAAAGCCAAACGTTGGAGTTTCACCGCTTTGTCGAGGTATGACTCTTGGTTTAGAATGTATACCTCAGTATTTGGTATCTATGCGTTATGTCAAGTTTAAGTGTAACACGTCTTCGAACTCTACTCATGAATTGACCGTGCCCACGAAAAGGCAGGTTTTCCACATATACGTTGCTAGGCAACAAGCTATGACGTAGTATTCTTATCGCGTGAACCAGCTAAGCTCTGGCTTGCAAGTTCCTCTACGGATCAGTCTTGTTTACGTCGTTAAATTCTGTCCTTGTGGCGTCATTTAATTAAATGATTTTGCTTTTAATCTCAAAAGTGAACGTCTCGAACTTTATAGCGCCCATCCCCCAGAATGCAGTGCATTCACGAAGATCAAGTCGTTAGTTTACTCTAATTCATTCCAGCATAAGATATGATGAGGTCTGCCGGATGGCATAAATTATGCCAAAAATGAAACTGCCAAAATGATTTCATCAATAACAAATTAGGTTTATAATGTATTCACCCGCTGAGCATAATTAAAGCCAGAGGACATCCGCATAATTATCCTGCTGATACTGATTGACGTTTTATAAGTGACAGTCAGTCTCACGCCAATTCTACTAACACGTGTTTTGATGATTCCTTTATACACGTGTAACAAGTGACCTTGATATAAACATCACGTTTGGCGCGTGTAGTAAGCCAACACGTGGCCAAATGATATCGCTGTATAACTCTTTCCTTCGGTACAGACAGGTTGGTTTTACACGGGGTAAAAATAAGGCACTACTCTTTTGTTCCGATCTGGAGATTCTTACATCTCAGTAATGGAAACAGGGTGCAAAAACAAGTTTTTAGACATATTTGGCAATTCGGTACGATGTTCTGTCTTTACAGTTCCAGAAGAAAGAGGGGAGGGGTTTTTATACTAGAACACAATGGCGCTAGTGGAGGTCCACGAACAAGGATTAGCTTTGCTTTAGCCATTACAGACGAACATGTCTGAATCTATTGAAATCTAAATATGTCTTCTTTCAGTATTTGTTACAAGAGATTAATAAAAAGATGATTGACCTTAATTAAACTCATTCTTTTCATAACACGGAGGTACTTAGCGAGAGCTGAATACTATGGCTCGTTGTTTCTACTAGAAATGTGTTTTCGATAAAAGTCAGCTTAAAAAACCCAAAGATAACTAGCCCTTAAACTGGAAGTTAGCTTTAAAATGGCCTTTTGAATATCTATTTCATTTCGTCATAGTCTATACGTTCCATTTTTCCATTCATTTGGCTTGAATCATGCATGTCAGCATCATACACGCTTTTGACCTCTCCACTAATTCACAAGGTCATGTTAAGGAATTCATTGCCCCAAGTCATGGCTATCAGGAACAATGGACATTATTAATTGCGCTAAAATTAGACCATACATAGTTACAGACGGTCGTAATTTCTCAACCAGATTCAACTGAAAAAGAATCGGCGAGCAGGCAAGCCATGAAGCTAAGACGCAAACTAGGCGTAAGCACTCAAGTCAATCTACGGAACATCAGAATTGCGGTGATGGGCCAAGACGGCGTCGGAAAAACAGGTAAAGTGGAGTAACTTTATTTCGTCATTTTGTTAAGCTTTATTTTGTCAATATATTCAGTAAAGTAGGACGTTGCGAAATACGGTTTGCTTGCAGTGTTACTGATTTCCTTATATATCGATTTCCAATCAGTTAATTTTCTTTTTTCTATCAGAATGAAAATGCTCCAAATCTGTTAAAGCAATGCCCTTCTAAAATTATGACAAGTAAGAACATAAAGCAAGCTCAAGCGAGCAGGAAGGTTAACTAAAACTAACGTAAACACTTGAATGGCAGTCAATCAACATTTCGGCGAGCTGGTTAACGTTTTTGTTGAACAAATACATAGATTTCATCACTGGCCAAAAAAATCCTTTAGTGTGTCAATGTAAGAATTTTAAGTGCTATTTAGAGAAGAAATCATAAGGCGACTTACAGCTGAAGTCTTTCGAATATAAACCACACAAACGTGTTATGGGTGTCGATGTTTTTTCCACCTGAACTGTAAAATTTCATGTTGAAGATCATTAGTCAGACTTGTGTATCTACAGTCAACAAAAATCACACTTCTTTACTTATGGTTCCGTTCATAAATCTATTTTTATTCAATAGAGGTGAGAAACAATTAACAAACAACGAAGTAAATAGAGAGGCATATCACATCATACTTTGTTGTTCCGGCCTCAATATTATTGCGGTTTTTGAACAATAGCCTTTTGTTGTTGTTTTTTTTCTTTAGTTAAATAGTGCATTGGACTGTTCGTCTCTTTAACAATTTGTTCATTTTGTAGATTGATTACTTCCAGTATTTTAACATTTCAGTGTTTGTTTGCTTATTATTCCAATGGCATTAACGTATTTCTTTGTTATATTTATTTTAGCTCTTACAGTTCGTTTCCTGACCCGTCGTTTTATAGGCGAATACGATCAAACATTGGGTACGTAAACAACTCCTTATTATCTTTTCTATTCTGCAAAGAAAGATATCAGTCTTAACTCTAAGCTCTCTCGACTTAACGACTAATCGTTTTATCTGCTCTTCTATCTCGATGGTATCTTATGCGATTTGGACTGATCTCAATCGTATCATCTTGACCAAAGCACGTATTTTGACGATTGACGTACAAAAATTCTTGTTTGACGTGAAGATTCCTAAATAGGAAACCTTCTCCATTGTCGCAAAATTGAATCTCAGCGGGAAGTTTACGCTCCAGAGGTGAAGTACTGGGTAATGAACATTGCAATGCTGGAACGGATGGCTCAAGACACGCGACGTACGGAAACGAAACTCGAGAAAATGATAGAGAGCCATAAGGTGATTTGATTTCCAAAGTGTGGGTTACGAAAGCTGGACTTTGAAACATTATTCCACACTGGCTCGACTCAGTTCAAACAAACTTCTTTGGAACCACTTTTTTCTAGCTTTCTCGTCCTAGCTTTTAAGTCAAAGAAATCTTGTTATGAAAGTTATAAAGAGTACAATGGCCATCTACCCAACTATTCAGTCTTGTGACAACGCATCAACATTGCCTGAAGTCCCACGGCAGAGTAAGGAAAAAACTTCCAACACCGGGAGCAACCCACGGAGAAAATATTCCTGCCAGGTCGAAACGAACTAGACAATCTACCTTGATACAAAAAATTCTTTACTTTTCAATTTCTGTAGAATATCTGACGGGTTGAGTTGTTCTCTGGTGGCGAGACCATTTCATTGTTTAGTATCCATGCAACTTGATGGGACCCCCTATTGTTGTGAGATAAGGATCTCTTTATTTGGATTCAATTCAGGAGCTAGGAGATTAAGTTATTCGAGTTCCTTGGTGATATGTCAGTTTCTTTTTAAATCGCCTCAACAAATCTTTATCAGGAAACATCACATTAGCATCTATAGGGTCTTCAGAGGGTGTGGCAAAATGATTATCTCAGAAGTTAAAACGTGCACGAATTTGGCATTCAGAAAGTACATCAACAAGTAGAGCAGACTTCCTGTTTAAGAATAAACATTGTGACAATATTGGAATGGTTATTTCAGCCTGAATGTAAATGTGTTAAAGGGACGACAGTTTTCGTGATATCGCTGAAACGGAAGGTTCGCCCCTTCTTCCACCCACCTCCCGAGAATGTTATAGTTATTGAAATGTGTGTCCGACTGACTTTCCGTTGCTGATAGATATAAACGACGTATGTCTCTCCACAGAGACAACAAACAGACATCACATTGACGTGGATGGTGAATACGTAGCTTTGGACATTCTGGACACAGCAGGAAAGGTAAATATGAAGCTTATTGACTAGTAGCACGCAGAAGAATCTTGTCGTGATATTGCTACTCTCCCCTGGAAGGGTTGCTTGGTCATGCCGGGTAACCGTTCTCCCCTCTTCTCTGGCCTTTCCTGACAGTATGTTTTTCGGTTGATCCAGCTATTTTACGGTTCTCATTTATACACCTGAGTGAAGAGCAAAAGTGACTCTTTCAAACGCATCATGAAATTGTTTCATAAAACCTGAAGACGGCCTTATTTCTTTCAGAACTCCGAAGAGAAGCTTGAGAGCATTGTGGCGTATGCAGACATCTTCCTTGTTCTTTACTCCATCACGGATCGCTCCAGCTTTCACGAAGCGGGCAAGATTGTCAAGTATATAAGACGACACAGAACTCTGGACTCCAGCAGTATAATTATCGCGGGAACCAAGCGGGATTTGGAGCACTTTAGGACCGTGCGAGAGACAGACGGCAGCAGACTAACCTACTCACTTAACTGCGGGTTCTTCGAGATATCCATATCGGAGAGTTACGGAGATACAATACACATGTTTAACGACATCCTGAGACAGTACCTAAATGCACATCCCCCTCCAGACCCGTCGAGCATGATACCAGCTCCCCACTCTCCCATCCCCGGTCAGATGACACAACACAAGGAAATGAAGACACCGTCTTCGTGGGCGAAGGTGAAAGGGCTGAAAACGATGCCTTTCCGAAGAAAATCTGCACAGGCGATAGCTTGCTAGTCTAAAATGCTAGAATCGGAAAGCCTTCTGATACGTCTGTGACCATACCTCAAAAAAAAAACAGAACAAGAAATAACAAACACATGTTTCTTCAACTTTAGAAGCAAAGATTGGCACAAGCTACAACTGCATTTTTAAGGCTACATACCGCTCAAGTGTTACTCTGTTCGATGAAAAAATTAGTGAATTCAGAGTTTGAATGGAAAAATAGGTAGCTTGACAGACTTTGTACAGATATTAGTCCGGTGGAAACTGATTCTTCCTTAGAACTGCCTTTCCAGTACTGGCCCGGGTTGTTAGAAAGGTGGATAACGCTATCCACCGGATAAATCACTTTCCAGCGGATAGCGTGGTTTGTCTTGTTAACACTTATCCACTGAAGAGCGATTTATCCGGTGGATGTAGAGCGTTGTCCAGCTTTCGACCAACTGGGTCCTGAACGGCAACCCTTCAGTAAGCTGTATTTTGAAGAGTTCTCTTTACTATGTTTTTAGAGCATACCGTATATTCTACTGTCTATATTACTGATCTGAAAAGTGCTGGAGAGAAAGGAAAATTATTTGAGAGAAAGGAGAATTTATTTTGTCGATTGTGATCATTCGCAAAGTGAATGAGAGACAAGTCAGGGTTATGACAGATGATGTTTCAGCGAAGCCGAGACATTTGTATTATCTGATGAATGTTTTCAAACACTCGACTCAGAAAATAATATGAGATTTCGGAATCTGTAAATATGGATATAAGCTGTAAATATTTCATCATTAGTTTCTTATTAAAAATAAGAATTAAAATACATTAAAATGAAATTATTCTTCGCAACATACTTAATATATAGCAGAGCACAGCTATTAATGTACATGGCTAGCTTTTATTAGTTACAGCTTCAGTTGGAAATGACTTCGAAAGAGTCATGTTGCTGTCTGTGCTGATTTGCAACGACTTCGACTTAAACTATTTTGTTTTGGGTTGTACGCCATTAGAGATTCCCGTGGCGCCTTCGATCGTTTTTCATCATCTGATCATGAGAAGAGGACAAACTTGTTGTTGTTTTGATTCGCTGCCTCGATTAAGTCTTGCGTCAGTTCGCGTGCACGAACGCGGCAGTCATGGTTAAAAAATGGCTGTAAAATATAAAAATACGGCTCATCATAGCCTCCAAATAATTATGCAATGTGCGTGCCTGTATTTGTAAGACTATGAACTTTAGAGTTAGAAAACACAGTTCATTTGTGAAACCAGCTCAATGATTCTCAAGAGTACTAGGATCACGAACTTTTAAGTGTGTTACTGAAACACAGTCATCTGTGAAACCAGCTCAATGATACACAAGTGTACTAGGATCAGAATTCATGTACAAATCAACCCCTCTCCTCTCATTAAAAGGTAGTTTAGGTTCTCAATGTGACGGATTTTCCCTCGTGAACTTAAGAAAAAGTACCCTATGCCAAGAGTTTTTAGACTACTTCCCTTTGCTTGCTTCCTTTTCCTCATTCCGGCAGGTGGCTACAAAAATAGAAGGCCTGCTGTGAACCCCTGATACTGTAATAACATTACTCGCATAAGGAACAACTGCAGACACACGGCGAAAAACTGCGGTGCATTCCCTTTGGTCAAACATTCCGGAAATGTCGGTCACCAGGAAGTTGTAAACCCTTCCCGGGGTGCTCCAATAAAAACTTCCGGGAGAAAACGGAACTTCTAAGGGAATAGAAGTTAGAAGTTCTATTTTTGTAGGAAGGTTTCTGCGTGCGGGGCAAATCAAAAACGGACGTGCCGTATTTCCTTCGAACCTTAATTTCCAGAATTTTTCAAAACGAAATAGAGAGCGCTCCGAGTCTTGTTTGAAAAATAGTTTGGGTTTGAGATGCCTCACCGATCGAGCCAGTGATGGCTACTATGAAACACAGTTTGGCGCTAAAACTAAAGGTAATTACTCAACGCTGACAACAATATATCTAGACAAGAATGAAGAATGTCCAATGAGGCCCCAACCCTGGCCAAATTAAACGCTGTGTAGTTATAACGCTTTTTACGTTGTTGTCTTCATGTAAAAGTGATGCTTCGATCACGCGACAAATCGCGTGTCAGTTCCTCAGTCCGTGTGGCGCAGTACTCGTCAATCGTTTCCTTCAGACTGGACATTGCCCTATTTCTGCGCACGTTTTTCTCTACCATCTCCATAATCTTGCTGTGAGACGATCGTTTCGCGTCATTCAAAGCCTGCTTGGCCATTTTATGCCTCATGGTCTCTCGGATTGCTTCCGTAAACATATCTTCAACATCCTGATAGCTCACTTTCGCGGAGATCTCATGAAAAGAACAATTCATGTCACCCGATAGCCCGATTCCTTCTTGCTGCGAGACTTCTCTGTCGTTCCCGGAGTCTTTCTTGTTTCCAACGAGCACTAGCAGTGAATGATCGGGAGCTCGCGCTTTCTCAAGATGCTTCCACAGCGGGGTGAGTTCATCAAAACTCGAACGGTCGTTAACAGCATATACCAGCACAAACATGTCTCCCCATAAGGTGTGGACGTCATTGTTCTGAATGAAGTCCTGTCAAACGCAGCAAAGTTTACTTTATATGTTATGACTGAATTTATGAAAACAGTGTCAATACTTGAAACTAAATCACCCATATGCGCTTGTTTTTCACGTCTCCTAGCTAGAGACCTTAAAAAATTCACTCCAAGCAATGAAAGAAAATATAGAAAAGGAAGGTAGAGAGTTGAGGAAAAACGACTGCCATTCCTTTTAATATTTTTACCGTTCACTTTAATTTTGGGCAGGGAGTTGATAATTTAATACTGTTTTCATAAATCCAAACACGCATAGAATCTATGGAAAAAATCATTTCCCATGGCAACATCATAACAAGCTGCTTATTGTTATTGAAAATCTGCATTAGTGCTATAGCGTATGTGTCCGTCTTGGAGAAGTCTAGACGAGTGCTGACTGAATTGTGAAAGGTAACACGTTCAAAATTTATTGTCCCCAAGTCATGGCTTGCGGTGAACAAGAAAGCTTCAAAGGCGGATTCCCTTAAAACGTTTGCGTGTTGACGTTTGCCGTACCTTTCCTCCTGACTCCAGAATTTCCACTCTTACCTCTTGATTTTCCAACCTTGTATGATAATGGTATATTGAACCTACAAGACATTTGAAAAATAACTCAGACAGCAGTAATAGTGACCTGATCCAGACTATCCTACTCCGACTAGGTGTGTATTTCACAATTGCAAATCAGAGGCGGCGGAGCGTTTTGAAACATGAGCGGGCTCATCGTTAAAGTGCCACTATGATCAAATTCTTTATATCCATTTTTTTACATTTTCGTACACAATAGGTCTTTCCTAGATATCTTGGAAAATTTCAATCTATTACGAACATTAGAACTCGCGTTTTTTGGACCTTTATTTCCGAGAATTTAAGGTCGCCATTAATTTTCGTTGTTCCAAGTCTTGGTTTAGAATTGGAGAAAATGACGTCATTTTCTCAAAAATACCACACCTGTTGAAATTTGAATAGCGTTTTCTAAAAGCTCCGTTTTAGTGACGGATTAGTGTGGACGGTAGGCCTAGCCGTAGAAATAAAGCTGCATTTTCAAATTTATTCGGCGTAGTGTGGACGCGGCCTGGCGGCGCCACACTCAAAGAAGTTTGCAATCAGCTTTTCTCTTTAGTCCAGTTTCTCATTGGTCCTTACTCATTAGTAAAACAAGACTGGACAAAGCACATGTTCCCAAAACTGGTCCCATTTTTATAAGCTTTCGTAACGTACAGTGACTGCACCACATCCTCTGGGTCAAAAGGGCCAAACTGAAACTACAAACATTTTTCATTTCCTAATGCTTACAGGAATATTTGTTTTATCTCGAGTAAAATGTTATCGAAAGCCGACGTATATGACTTGGCTTTTATTATCTTCTTACGAGCACAGAGGGTCTTCAGTACTAGTAACTCTGATTACCAAGTCAGTAGTTTATCACTGATGCCATAATGCTTAAATCAGCCATTTAAATTCATTATAGCACATTCGGGAAAGATTAGTTCAGTAATAACAATCAGATTGCAGAAAAGCGTTTTGCAGGGCAGGTTTTAATATCGTGTCAAGGTGGGGAAACAGAAATGGAGACCTTTTCAGCGATGTATGTAATACTGTATACCTCTTGACTCACTACTCGAAACCCAGAAATAAGCTGCAATTGTAACTTGGCTAAGAATGATAAGCAATATAATCTCACTTGAGAAACGACAAATTAGGCTCTTTCGCCCAGTAACACATGGTAGACGATCTGTATCGTTTATTTATTCACTCGATAAATTAACTGTGTGTCTGTCGAGTCCGCTTCAAATTAACTCACTTGCCTGCACGCGAACGTTCAGTTATTATGGCCGGAGTTGCTGTAAAATTTGCATTGGAATGCTCTTTGCATGCTTACTGTTTGGCCTCTAAAATGATTGTCTACCCTCCACTTAAAATCGCATCACTTCGACTAAATCTGGTTCGCCATACCTTTTGTTTTGCTAGCTTATAGATCAAAAGCTTTTTCATTGCCGACATTAATGTTCTTTGTTTAAAGCAATAAGCTATTTTAGAACCATCAAAGTATGGCAGAACCTCTTATCATGGATAATGTTTTGAAGTCCCTGCGGTAAAGTTTACAAATCTTACAACACTGGTCACTGGCGGACACAAAGCCAAATTTAGAAGCCAGTGGCAAGCTTGCGGCGACATCGTAATCTCTACACAATTAGTTTAGTCTTCGTTTCGGCAGTTGACCGACCTAATCTAAGCTTTCCAGTAATCCATATGTCGACCTCTCGACATTATATTTTGTTTTTACAAAAGGAAAAAGCTCCCAAAGTCAGACAAGGTCAATGGAAAGAAAAAAAACCCATAAATCTAATCAAAACATACCAATTTTTCTCAAAAACGGTGTTATCGAAAGCAGAACGAATGATTTAAAGTTGGCAGTGCTGCAAATATGAAAGTTGTATTACCGTCAGGTCTGTTTTCAGTCTTGTTTAATGAGTGTGTGCATTTAGGTGAATAAACACTAAATTCCTTGATAGCTTCGCGTTGGTGTGTAAACAAAGATCCTTTGCCCTTCCATTTATAAAAGCTTTCATGTGAATTGTTGAATAGTTGTGATGTTTGTCGCAGACCTTCAAAGCGAACTAATACAAACAACATCTTACGGTTATATACGTACCAATGTTAGGGTCGTACTCTCCTATAAATCTTTTGGTCAGAAATCGCACAATCATTGCTACGAAAACAACGGAGAAACACGTTGCTGTAAACAACTTTGTTTGGAATAAAAGTTGTGTTTAAAAGAACACACACATAAGAGAGAGAGTGTGAAATACAAAGGCAATCAACATAATTAAGTATACACAACATGAGGAATAGGCCTTCGACAACGCGAGAACGCGATCGCGCGGGATTAACGCATTCACACCTGATTTTCCAACACCGAGTTTCCCTACAAGAACAAGTTTTAGCAAAATCGGTTTCTTGCTTCCATCGCTGCTCGCTAGTGCTCTTTCCATGGTTGTACAGTCCAGTGGAATGCTAGTGAAAGTCGCCTCTTGTCCGCCGATTATTTGCTAATTTGTGGCCATTGTGTCTTACAAAACTGTTTGCTTTACACACAAAGGAGTCAGTCAATTTACGTCACGTCGTTTCGGCGGACGCTAATCGCTCACTAGTGATGTCAATAACATGACAGATACAAGGCAAGGTGTGTTCCTTGATCAAAAGCATTCAAGTCAAAAACATTCTAGTATTTGTTAGAGCAAGACAGAATACAGCATAAATGTAGCATTTAGTTAATAGTTGTTATTGTTGTAACCAAATCTTCTCCTTTAGTTTTTAATATTTTTTATTGCTAACACTAATTTGAAATTTTCTATCAACAGCACATAAGTTTATGCCAGTTGTATTTATATTTAAATTTAGCTGATCTATCTTTTTTTTTTTTCAGTATAAATAAAGTATTTTTATTTTATTTATTATTATTTAATATAAATCAGAACATTGCGACTTTTGTTTCAAGAAACCTGACATTATTCCATGACGGGACGCACGGGGCTTCTACTGTAAGTACCGCAGAGAAATGGTAGGAAATTTTCCTAGCATTCCTTACATACTCTCAATAGGGTTCTTCGTCTTGCGGCCAAGGATAGACTACGAATAGTCCCTCTTTCGCTTAGTCCGTCGTGCGTGACGCGAAAGAAAACCGCGAGAAAAAAATGGCCGCGCGAAATCCTGGAGGCGAGGAGCGCGCGAAAGGGGGGACTACCGCCTAAGCCCAAGAGTTTGAGCGTTGGTCTCACAACGCAAAAATATGATTGGCTTATGTTAGGAGCGTTGACAACGTGTTGTCAACATTCGAGATACCTGTGACGTCTTGCAGGAATGT